ATTTGTATATATATCGTATGCTATATAGCCTATGTAGGTATATATCTGCCCGGTGGGCCTCTGGTAACGCCCCGAAACGTCGGTTTCCCTCAGGAACTCTCCAAGACGTTCGGGTGCATCAACCCCCGGCAACTGGTTTCCGTTTCGATTTTTGTGCGATTTAAACCTCTTGTGGCCCACTGTCCTCGTGGGGCCTGTTCAATTCTCTGGCTGTCCCGCTCGCACGCGCCTACACAGCCGGCAGCTGGACAATGGGATGCTGGGGGGCGTCCCAGTGGGCCTCGCAGTAGTCGACCAGCTGGTTCTCGGCCTTGGTCAGCTGCTCCTCGGGTGCGTCGGCCCAGACCTTCTGGACCAGGCAGCACGACTCCACGGAGTCCTGGCCCAGGATGCGGCTCAGCTTGGTGGCATCATCGACCTTGATCACATAGATGTCGTTCTCGTAGCAGAAGGCCTCCAGGAGCACCTCGTGCATGTGGGTGGCGGAGTCGCCGTCCTTGGGCTGGGCCATCAGGCAGAAGAGGGATCCCTCCGGCGACTTGGAGAGCACGTTGATGGCGGCGGACAGGCCCACAATCACCCGCGTCTCGCTCTGGGCCCTCAGAAGGGCCGATTTCACCACGCGTCCAATGGGGGCGCACTCCATGGCCAGGTCAATGTTCAGCTCCAGCTCCAGCTCCATCTCCATATCCATGTCGCGGTCCAGGTGCATGGTGCAGGTCTCCTCGACGACCATTTTGTGTGTGTAATCCGTTTGTTTGGGGGTTTTCTTGGGGTTTTGGGTAATTTTCAAGCCGTTGGCTTCCACTTTTTTTTTCTTGTCACTTGGTTGTAGCTTTGCTAGCTGTATTTGTTTTTGGTTTTTAGAGTGTTTGTTTTAGCGCTCAATTAACTTTTGATTATGAAATTCTTTTCGCACTGGGCTCTGCTCTGCGTTGTCGGCCGTTTGTCCGCGTTGTTTCAATTTTGAGTGGCAATTTCACAATGAATGCCCTCAGTTGGCGAGCGGGTGTTTTTATAGCCGCGCTCTCCGCCGCCTGAGAATTCCACTGAATTTCATCAGAAGACCGCGAGAGCGAGAGCGCGAGCTTTGCGAGGGGCCCGCTCTTGGGGTTTTCTCCAGCTCTCTTTCTCTCTCTCCCTGCCTCCAATCGGGTTTTTTTTGTATCTTTTTGGGTATCCAAAAGATTTCCGTTGATTTGGAGGCAATTAGCGAATTGGGGGTTTCTTTCCATGGACTGCAAAAAAAAGAATGCAGTTTTTGGTCTCCGAACAATGGGGTCAGTCAGCTTATCAGGGCTCTCCAATTTCGCACCATCTCAGAGGCGCGAAAGTGCCTCCCTTAAGTTAAGAGCTTCGATTTATTATTATCTTTCGGTGGAAAAAACATGTGCAAACAAGTTTTGAGTGAAATGAAATTTGCTCATCGAATTTCGTTAAAAAATCTGTAAATAAATTTCACTTGAACGATTTTCCTGAATTTTGAAAAGTCTTTTTCCCCCGAATCTTGTGAATGGGCCACTAAATTTTGGCCCTCCGCCAGTAGTAGGTGAGCAACAGGTCTTGTCTTAAAGACCAACGCGGCGTATACGCAACGTGGGCATACTAGGCGTATGATTAACGAATGACCTTACTTAACGCACTCGAAATGGATTCGGGTTAATTTTATTTCTGTTCTGGTTTTGCACGAACGGCAGTGATTGAACCCCTCCCACTTTGATCCATTATATTTGGGATTTTGCCCAGACGAGTGGGCAAACAGAACACATCAAGTTGGCCAAGCACAATGGAGGCTGCTAATCAATTTAGCGCAGTATTCCAATTTTAAATTCCCCCCTTTTCACGCCCTGCAATCAGCACGTGGGAACGTGTCGAAATCGGGAGTTAAGATTGCCCAGTGAGTTTTATCAATTGAACCCCGCAAACTACGCCATTCGCCGGCATTCTCACCTGACTTCCCGTCGCGGGTTCAACTACCGCACATTAATGCACTTTTCAGTGATTAATTGTTATTTTTATCGCTGAACTTTGATGTGCCAAGCATAATTCGGAGGGCTTTATTGTGAATCGCAGCAAATCAGTTATAAATAGCACCTGAAAAATGATATTTACATATGTTTTAGTTTTTTTGAGTTGAACAAACTGCTGAAAGTGCAGGGAAAATGAAAACAACTTTTCTGGGGCAGCTTAGGGCGAAATTTGAGAAGGAAATAACAGGTTGTTGGAAAGGGTATGTCTTAAAAACTTAATTTTAAAAGAAAAGTTTTCTAGTAACTGAAAATCTAAAAAAATAGATTATCACAATGTCATATTTTGCCTTTGAGGTAATCTTATAAAATTCGAAAACGTCGACTAACTAAACCTATTTAATCTGAAAGCTGAATAATTGCGTTTCGCTTTTTTCGCAGTCAGTGTACATACATATGTAGATTTCGACAAATATTGAAAAACTTCTTCCAAAACTCAAAGAACCTTCTGGAAAAGCATAACAAGAAAAGACACCGCCCTATCGACAACTTGGTTCATATATAAATAGGCAGATTAAAGCCAAAAGCTTCATCCAACTCCCCCGCAAAATACTGACCTATGTATTTAGACTCGAAAACATAAACAATGGTCGTGCTTACGAGGCGCTTACCGCAATGGATCATTCGGGGAAGTGCTGAGAAGTGCATCAGAAATAGAAACTGCCGACTCAGCTCGGAATTTGCGCGCCAAATTCGCCTCGAAAGTGGCCAATGAACTGCGATGGAGCCCGAAGGGAACCCGAGAATTGGTGACAACATGGGGTTTTTCAAGCTAGATGGGGCGGTTCTCTTTGGTCGGCTTTGTAAATATTTAAATGGGTTGTTTGATTTGCTTCTGTAGTCAGTAATTAAATATCATTATTTGAGCTTTTTATTTTGTATATCATTTTAATTTGGGAAAGAGTATTTTTAAACGCAATGCCTTAACTGTAGTGTGCTTCTTTAGTAGAAAGAATGGCTAAATTCAGTCTACCCATAAGCTTTATAACTCTTATTTTATGAAATGTTTTACTACGAGCATTACCAAAGTCTTATATGTATCCCTTCGATTTTAAGGCTTATGGTTTTTTTAATTTATGCAAGTTATCAATACAGTTAAAGCAGCTAATTCTTTACAAATAAAATTGAAATTATCCTAGAATAGCTACAAATTGTTTTATATATTTGCTTGCTTATAAACGAGTGTAATAAAATACAGTTTCTAGTAAAGAATTTGTAATCCCACAAGTTTATTAATTGCTGTACACAATTTTCTATAACTCAAGCGAACGTGTGAATTTGAACTTATAAATTGATCTACACAAAAGTATAGGTTAATCCAGACGTCACAATCGAATACCTTTGGTAATGGATTCAGATATTTTTAGCTTTTTGCGGGGTGTTCGATGGGCAGCACTGCCTGCGGGTTGTTTACCATAACCATGCCACCCAATTATGTGTGCAACATGCCCTCGGCACATGTGACGCTGTTATGTAGGATGGCTTTGTTTCGGGGTGCTTATGGGGGGCAGTCACTGGGTCCACGGAGTGATGGGTGCATGAAAGAGTGATTTTCGTACCTCCTCGCCTCATCGGCGGATGCCGAACTGCTGAGTCACGCCGGCGCAGCACTAAACTGGGCCCAAACCCACGCCAAAGCGAAGAGCCAAAGTGAGTCAAAGCCAAAAGAGAGTGCGAACTGGTTTCAAGAGTTCCCCGAAAAAGCGTTTGCATTGGACCGCATTCGGCATTCAAAGTCGGTCCAAAGTCTACCAGTGCTACCTGCAACCGGTCACTCATGCCAATCACTCCAACGAATGCCGCCTAAAACATCACGTGCACCGCACCAGAGTCTCGATTCGGAACGGGTTCTTTTACAGCCAGTCTCCAAGGGGCAATTATGTGTGCAGCTCAGCTACATATGCTGGGGGATTTCCCATTTATCGCTGCATTTGGGTAAAACCCCAATATCCCAGAGAATTCTCTGCGAAAAACCCCGCTGTAATGAGGCTGTGGTTTTTTGTTGTAAACTCTGCTCGTATTTCCCACTCCTTATCGAATTTTACAGCCTATTTTGTATTTTTAGCAAAAGATAAACACATGGCTTTTTTTTTAAATAATTAGACTTTGTCTTGCGTTTAATAATGTTGTGAAACTTTTCTCAGTGCCTTTCAAATAATGGCGAAATTATGCGGCGTCTTTTATCGGACAGGTGTACATACATAATTGCAGGGCAGAACCGGTTTTAAGAACCTTGTGAAATAACTAAAAGTAAAGCTGAAGAGAAAGCTATTAAATATGAGCGTGAAATAATTGTACAGATTTGTATTATATTAAAAAAGTTAATTTTATTTTTTAAAGATTAGTTGTTGAAAGCTTTGTTCCCTAAATCTGTTCTTAACGTTAATGCGAAATGTAAAAGTTAAAATAGTATTTGGAGGAATGTGTTAGTTGTCCCTAAATTCGATGAATCATTAAAACTTTGAATTATGTTGCGCCGGCTTTATTGAGCTTATTAATTCTGTAAATTTATTTATGTTCATAAGTGGATCATAAAACTGAGATAAAACATAAATGTAATTATTGGAAAATGTATAAAAAAGATTTTTAAAATATAAATGCCTTTGAAATTATTGACTATCCTGTATAATTATTCATTCCAATTTGAAATGGTTTTGTTTTTTTAACTATACCGATTTTTTAAAAACATTGGTATTTTTTTAAAAACCTAATAAATTTTTTTTTTTTAGCCAGATTATTTATTTAAATTTCTAACTGTCATAACCGGTTCGCTTAGATTCGCTACTGATGGCAACACTGTCCATTATCCGTTAAGCTCTTTCTTTTCCTCTCTCGCTAATAAGCTTTTTGCCGCCACGTGCTTTTGCTTTACCGGTCCGGCGGAGCTTTCACCTTGCTCTTGCTCTCATTTGTGCTTCCTCTTCCCTGTAAACAAATACAAACGAACAGCTGTTTTCAACCCCCATTTCAGTGTTGGTAAACGTGCACATATTACACAGGCCATTTATGTAATTACACTTAACAATTAGTCGCATAAATTATAAAATAAAGTCATTAGGGAGTAGTTGGTGACATTTCGGGCTTAACTCTGACTCACATAGCTTCCGTAGCAAGGAACCGACAACAAAAACACAACCCCCGCGCAGTGCCAAAAGCTCTGTGTTATTGAGAACCCCATCAAAGTCAAAGAAGTCGAAAAAAAGTCGAGCGAAATGAGAAGTGCTGGCAGGTAAACAACAATCAGTTCCCCTTTGTAAGCCACAAACAAACAGAAAAAAAGAAGTTGGCCTGGTCCAAACTAATTGCCTGAAATGGGCTAGATGGGGAAAAAACAAATACACGCTGGCGAGAGTGAGATAAAAACACCGGGGCAAACCGGCCCGAGCATTCAGTTCTCTTTCGGACGACAGAAGCGGCGGATCGTTATTTCGATATTTCAGCCGTGGCTCCGTTCACATCAAATCGCACTTTCCAAATAGAACGCTAAAATCCCCAGCCAGCGTTAATTTTTGCATACAATGGAGTACCTGAGCTACGTGTACGAGAAAATCTTCGGGGGCAATCCTCCCACAGACGACGACACGCAAGGGGCTTTCCACACGTGAGTGTTCCGCTCGGAAAAGCTAAAGAAAACCCCCATTTGATTACTGGGTTTTTCCTTCCACTTTCCTTAGACCCCGCAAGGTCATTTGCTTTGGAAATGTCCTCCTTGACCGACTGGTCAAACTCGAGGATCCCCAACTCCTGGAGCGATTCGGACTGGAACTGGGCTCCAAGGGCGAACTGGACATGGAGAAACTCAACCAGCTGGCGGCGGAGGCTTCAGAGAGGTAAGACGCTCTATTTCTTCAAGATGGTATTCATTACTTGGAAATACTCTTTTGAAAGTACAGCTCAGTTTATTAACCTTAAAGTACCATCTGCCTAAAAAATGTTTAAGGAATTATAAATAGATATTTTTCACAAAGTTATTTTTATAGAACGAAAGGTTTTGTTCAAAAACATTTCTTTGCATCTTAATTGCTTCTCTTTTATAAACTTAAAAGTAAAAAAAAATCGAAAATAAAGGAGTTTTAACTTTTTTAGATTAATTAAGTATCGGTTTACTGAACAATGGATTTCTTAAAATGTTGATAACAATGACTAAAGTACTTCATCACCATAAAACATTTTTGATAAAGTTTATAAAAAGAAACAACAAATCCATTGTTCACTGACAATAAAATTTTGTTTGTATGCAAGAAATAAATGAAAGTGATTTAGCTATTCGGAAAAACCCGAAACCAAGATAGTCGTGATTAAAGTTTCACGATTGCTACTTAGGTAGCCAGAGGTAGTTAGCGATAAAATTATATATCTTTGGTTCTAACAGTCCGATCGTTATATTCTTTATACTCTATAGACAAAGAATCAGAATCACCATGAGCTGGATAATCTTAAAACTCTTAAAACTTAAATTGTAAAGAGACTAAATGGATTCTTTTTTCAAAAGATTCCAAGCCAAACGGAGTCATCTTTGCGTTACAGAATAAATCGGGCATTGTTTGTAATCTGTAATCGCAACCAAACTGGTTTTCTTAAAATAGGTTGAAGTTGAGGAACTTTTCAACTAGAGAAGAATCATTTTATACATTTATCAGGAACAACAATCTCAAATGTAATTCTTTCACGCCTTATTAGATCATTTTTTTTAATGTAGCAAATGTGAAATGTGAGATTTAGCAAGTTGAAATAACAAAGATCAAGGTCAGAGTAGATAACTTTCATAAAAACTCAGTGAAAATAATAATGATTCCACTCATCTCTCTTGCAATAGATATTAATCGAAACCTAATCTCTTCTAGCTCCCAGTGCCTTACAAATCCGGGAGGCTCTGCTCTCAATACCGCCCGCATCCTGAAGCAACTGGGCACAGATGCCCTCTTCTTTGGCGCCGTTGGAGCTGATAAGCACGCTGAGGAGCTGCGATCGATCTTCCGGGAACGCGGCATCGAGGCCAGGTTGCAGACCGTCGAGGATGCGCACACGGGTCAGTGTTTGTGCCTGGTGTACCAGGATAACCCCACGCTGTACGCCAACATCGGGGCCTCGGCCCAGTTCGAAGTGCAGACCTTGAGCCACGCCGTCAGTCACGAGGGTCAGAGCTTCCTGCGACCCGTGGAGCGCAAGCAGATACTGTACGTGGAGGGCTTCTTCGTGCCCCAGAGGAGCGATGTGTGCGACTACATAGTGCAGCACCTGGTGAGGGAGCGTCGGCGACTGGCCCTCAACCTCAGTGCCCCCTACATCGTCCGGAAAAACCCCCAGGCCATGCTGAAGCTGGCCCGCGTTGCCTTCTTCCTGTTCGGAAACCGCCAGGAGTTCGAGGCGCTGGCCGAGGCAGCGGGTGGATTCCGAAATGTCGATGAACTGGCGCGGGATCTCCTGAAGTCCGGTGGCACAAAGGTCATCTTCGTCACCAACGGCAGTGCCGGCGTCCAGGTGATCACCAACTACGTAGAGGAGCTGGCTCCTCCCGGACCCATCAGCTTTGAGGACTACAGGGCGCAGCGCGTGGAACAGTGTGTGGATGCCACTGGCGCTGGCGACGCCTTTGTCGCCGGATTCCTGCACGCCTGGCTGGAGAAGCGCTCGCTGGGCGAGTGCATCCGCCTGGCCTCCAACGTGGCCGCCAAGGTCGTCACCCAGGTGGGGTGCAATCTGCCCTAAACCGACGACCTGCATCGCAATCTCGGAAAGCGCACAATCAAGCACCAAAGTAGACTCATAGCTTGTAATTATTCCTACAATCTCCACAAACCTTAGGCTTAGTCAAACAGTTATTAGCGGTTTCACCGAAGCAATGAACTTAGTCATAATTTGACTAATAAAAGTGATTTATATATCGTCCAATGCAAGATAAGAAAATTAATTCTGTTTTTTTTTTATATGTTCTATGAAAGTACAGTCTGGGTTGTTCCGAGGTTCACTTATCGCTTTATGGACGGGTTGTGTTCTGTTAGTGTAACTGATTTCCGTTGCAATAAAATGTTTTGAATTACAAATATTTTTTTAGCTGTGGTATAGTATATTTGTAACTAGATTTTATTTCAAGAAAATTTATTGCCTTTTTTCAGTTTAAGAGTTATTTTTAAATTTGCAATAGGAAAAGAGAACAGACTTCAAAGAATTTCTTTTTTTTTTTTAAACTGCAAATTCTTTGTGAATCTGAAAACCAGAACAAACATTGTCAACTAGGTAGGAGATTCATTTAAAATTGTGATTAACCGTGATTAGCAATACAAGTATTCCTGCATGTATCACATGCCATGGAACATTTGACCTTCGGAAGAACTGAGAGATAAAAAACTGAACTATTTAGTATAAAATGTGCACCGGAACACTCTTTTTAAGTTTAAATATAGATTTGAGAGAGTCGTTGTGTATACAGTGGGCATGCGTGTTCCTTTTATTACAAATTATGTATTCGCCATAAACCTATAAGTTTTTAAATTGAATTCAAATTTAAAAGTATTGTTTAAAATAATTTCTTTTTGCAGCAGTCACGCAGCTTTGTTTACATGTATTTTAACAATCGCGAGATAAATGAAAGCGTATATACGTATCTGGTGATTGTTCGACCTCAATAGCCTTGTTAATACGATTGTATTATTCACTCGATCGCTGGAGTTCCCACCGGCTGTACCGTTGTGTGAATCGTCGTTCGAAGCTGTTATCATACACTTAATTCCCCCGGAGATCCCGGATACATATATCTTTTTGCCCTGGTACACATTTCTTGAGATGCTTTATTATCCGCAAACAAACGGTTCCCATTTTCCTACGCCGGCTTACTCATACATCTTATATCTTATATGTACCATGTACATCCCACACAAGTCAGTCAATAAGTGACAACTTGGCCCAAAGAGAACTCGCCTGCCCAGATGCCATCAAAGCGAAATCCGCTTTTGTGCAGGCTGTGGGGGTGGATTGTATCTGGGGACTGGGTCTGGGTGACGCACATGTTTGCGAGTCGTTAGCAAAAACTAAGCCGCATTTGGCATGCTTGTGTGAGCCGGGCCAAGACCAAGGCCTCAAGCAGCTGATGCAGAAGCCATCGAAACAATAAAGAAGTCCGGGCTTAGGCCGAAAGCAATTCCGCACTTTAAAGGCCAATTCTCGGATCAGCTTAGTGAGCTGCCTAATTGGCAAGAAGCCGCTTAAACGGGCCAAGTGGAGCCAGGAAAATGTGGGAGTGGCAATGTGCTAAAGTCAATATTGGCACACCCACCCAATTGAGTGTATCGAGGGGTTCGAATACCCCTCCTGCCAAAATCACAACATCCTGCCCCTGTTAAATACTCGATATTAATTTTATACCGGCTGAGAGGGATCCGAAGAAACTCTCTATGCTGTGGCCACTGGCTATGCCAATGCCAGTCCTTTGTCGGGTCCGTAATTAATGTCATCGTGCGGTTTATGGGGTTAACAGCCACTCCACCGTCGGAACTCTACCCCTATTTTGAAGTCTGCGTGTGTGTAATGGCCGTTTCCGTATCCAGACTAACCCAAGGCTCGACTAAGATCCTCACTAGCATGTGATAATTAAATGTCCTCATTTGCCCAGTTTAGCATTTTAATTTACAATAAATTGTGCTTCGAAAATGGCTGTTGTCAAGGTAGTAAGCAAAGGGGTGCACTTGGAAACGGTTTATCTTTCCTTTGAGGCGAAAAACTACAATAAATTTGAGCTAGATATTCATTAAAATTAAAACTTTCAGTTCAGTTATAACCAAGGGATAACCCGTAATCTTTTCTATGTTGTGTATATTTAAGAAATATTTTTATCTGGGCTTTTACATATCTTTAATTACGATGTTCCTTTTTAATTTGATATTAACATCAATAAATGAATTCTAAGGTTTGAGCATATTAATTTTCAAGAAATACCTATCGTTTCCGAATGAATTTAACAACTGTGAATTTAAATATTTGCTAATTGAAAATCATTTTCGGTTTTCTTGCAGTGTGGGGAATGCACAAAAGGTTTGCCCCCTAGTTGATTTATGTGCAACGCTGCGTATGAGCAACCAAATGGGGCAGCTGTAACTGACATTGCATATTTGTCCTCCCACTGGCACCCATCCCCCCCATGCTTACACCCCCCTCTAGATCCTCTGTCGAGCATGTTTGCACAAAATATTGCGCATACGCCGCCAGTGCCCAACCTTCTTTGCCGTTCGGCTTTGTCCTTTTGCCTTTTTGCGGCATAACGCGCGGTTAAGTGGCCATAATGTGTGCCTTTATGGGCTTGGCATTGGCATTGGCATTGGACTCCTTTTCGGCTAGGTGGCTTCGTGGCTTGGTGGCTTGGTGGCTCGAAGCCCTTGTCCTGCTCCCATTTTAATTCCTTTGCCATATTTGCTGAGCCAGCATTGTTGCTGAATTATGTTATGCCAGTCGGTCGCTTGTTGATTTTTATATTGTTTTTTTTGTGTCTGAACTGGACTCGTTTCCTGTCCCTGTTCCTGCTCCTGGTCCTGCCTTCCTGGACTTTCGCTTGTCCTCGTGTGCATGATAAGCGACCAGGCCAAAATATTTGGCTCTGGCATGTTTGCTCAGTTGTTTGCGGATAATCCGGTTTTATTGTTTAATAAGTCATGCCGGCTATCGCTCCAGACCCTCCAGACCGTCCAACCTGTCCGTCCTCCCTCCCAAATTTTCCCAGAGTGTCTGACTGAAAACGTTAGCGGCTCGTTGGCTTTTTGACTGCCTGTGCGACGGAGCATGTCGGACCTTTTTTCGGATGGGGATTTCTGGAATGGGTTCGCAAGAGCGTGGCGAAATCGATGGCCAAATTAAATGGGGATTTACATATTGCATCAGCAGGGGCTTTACTTTAAAGGGAAGCTCCAAATGAGTCATTTGTTGCTGGGGAAAATTATGTATTGTTTTGTACAGTACCGAAGTTTATTTGCCAGCTAATATCGAGGTCATGGTTGGCTATCGTATTTCTATAACACAATGTATATAGCACTTCCTCATACTTGCATTTTCTAAGAAAAATAACCCGTCGTTAAAAAAAAACTGCTGTCTATGAGCAAATATGGAAATCTGTAATTTAGATATATATTTTCCTTATCATATTTGTCTTAAGTTCTTTGATACCCTATGAATTAAACATAAATCGTAGGTTTTATTGCTAGCTGATCACTAGTCATTGATCAGGTCATTACAATTGCTGTTAATCGATTACTTTTAAATCCAATGTAAGATGTCCCTCTTGAATACTTAACATCTGGAATCCATTTTGGATAAAAAAAACATGTACCATATCAAGAAAATGAAATACACTTAAAGAAATTTATTTAATACCATTCCGATACACTCATACAAGCGGATATTGTGGAAGAGAGGCCACCCCACACATATTGTTGGCGTTTCTGGCCAGTCTAAAGTAGCCACTCTCGCCCCATTCCGTCCCGTAGGAGTTCTTGATTAGCCAGTAGTCGCCCCAGGTAGGATCGGTTCCAAAGCCCACCACGAGAACGGAGTGAGTGAGGTTTGCCTTGTCCGACTTGCAGGTCGGAATCCTCAAGATGCCACCGTAGTACTGATTGAACTCCTCGTGAAGGTGGTCAATGGACACTGCCACGGGTCCAATGTTGTAGACCACCTCGGCCAGTTCCCGTTCATCGTAGTTCTTCAGGGTGACATAGCCGCGCAAGGTGCCTGCACTGCATTGGGGCTTCCAGCGACAGTCCTTTTGTTTCGGTTCATAGGGATAGGATGCCTTGGTGGCAATCCCATGATCCCTCGTGTAGTTGAAGGCCACGCTCACCCAGCCACCGAAGCAGCCATTGCTGGGATAGGGAACGCAGTCCACCAAGTGCTTGGGCGACAGGGGCACCAGCCGGGAGTTCTTCCTCGCCAGATGGGCCTCCAGGACTCCCGAGGCGGAGAAGGCCCAGCAGCTCAGGCAGTCGGTGCCCTGGTTCTCAACTGCCGATATGTAGCCGTACTGCCGCCAGTCTATTCCACTGGTAATCTGGTTGTAGTACCTGTATCCCGCTGGTTTCGCAACGAATCCCACTGTTGGTTCTTGAGGAGGTGGTACCGCCGTTCTATATCTGAAGAGTAGTCCCTGGTCGGTGTCGGAGAACTCGTTCAGACCCATCCGGAATCCCACTTTGCCCTGGGCATACAGCCTGTTGTGATTGGCCACAATTTGAACCCTTCTGTTGTATATCGCCCGGTGATAATTGTCGTCCAATTTGTAATGCTTTCTGTACTTCGCCTTGTACTGGGCCCACTGCATATCGGTCACCAAACTCCTACCGAATTCCGCAAATAGCAGGAAAATAACTACTTCTATTAAAAGTTGCTTTAGAGTATCCATTGCGTTCTGAACTCGTCCCAGGCAGACTTAAAACTGATTCCCAGCCTGACGAGCTCAAGCTGAGGTGGCGCCTTCGAGTGCAATGTATTATGCACTTGCCTTATCTGTAGCGCCTACTTGAACTCTTAATTGATTCATAGTATTTAATAAGATTGTATATTGATCGTAGATTAAACAGTGTAAAATTCGCAGAATAAATCAAATCTATAAATACATATATGTTTATTACGAACGATAATCGAAGAAAGAAACAATCGAGTCTCTACCTTTTATTTACATATAAAAATATCTACTTAATCCAAATCATTCAACATTTTTAGCCTTTTTAACTTGTTAATTAAGGTTTACTCTGAAAATTATTATTCATTCCCTTATTGAGGAAAATAAATAATATAATTGGATTAAAAGTATCACAAATTTTAAGTGCTTACTTACTAACTACATCAATTTTGATAAGAAACCTTATTGCCGCCACATAGCCCTGATGACCTAATTTCGAAAATATCGATACAAAATTGTCAATTAGGCTTCTAATATTAGATTAAGATTATAGAAATTTAATGTCATATTCAATGCAAATCCCTTTGTCAGGGATTCCAATCGCCCCTGACTTATTTCCTTCGGGAATGGCAATCGCCATCGCCATCGCACTTCAATTACATTACACTCATCATTAGCCAATTAGCTAAATTATAGGCTGCGCAACGGCAGTTGCCAAATGGCTTCAGTTCCCACTTCCATTTCAATTCCCATTCCCATTGCCTTCTTCTTCCCATTGCCTTCCCATTTCCGTTGAAATTGTCAATCGCTACCCCACAGATTGCCTTCCTCGATGGCGACAATTGGTGCGAAATAAAAGACATTTGCTCAGCACTTTGCGGCACAGTCTGAAGTGGATCTGCAGGGGAATTGGCTTAAGCTTATAGGAAATAGGAAATAGAAAGTAGAAAGTAGTGCGGAGAGATGAGAAAAATCGAGGATATTGGCCTGGTGGGCACCAATGTGCGAATGTGGCGCCACTTGGCCGTTCTGTACCCCACTCCGGGCACCAACTGGCGGAAGTTCGCCTTCGTCCTGCCCGTGTCGGCGATGAATCTGATGCAGTTCGTCTACCTTTTGCGGATGTGGGGCGACCTGCCCGCCTTCATCCTCAACATGTTCTTCTTCTCGGCCATTTTCAACGCCCTGATGCGCACGTGGCTGGTCATAATCAAGCGTGACCAGTTCGAGCTGTTCCTCGGGAGACTGTGCACTTTGTTCCACTCGATTCTCGAGTCCTCCGACGAGTGGGGGCGCGACATTCTGCGGGGGGCGGAGCGGGAGGCCCGGAACCTGGCCATCCTTAATTTGAGTGCCTCCTTCCTGGACATCGTCGGGGCTCTAATCTCGCCGCTTTTCAGGGAGGAGAGAGGTTAGTACACTGGGAAGTCAATAAAAGAAACACCAACGAAATCAGGAAAGTATTGAGCCATTTTAAGATTTCAAGATGAGTTCCTGTGGACCTCTAGGTCATCAGAGTTAGAACCCTTTTTATTGGGTGGATTTGTAGAAGCATCATTAGAGATAGTTGAAAAACTGATAAAAACAAGCGATTTAACGTATTCCCTTATATATACGATTGCGTCGGTCAAAATATTACCTTGCCGCTGAACGAAGGAATTTAGAAAACGTTAATAAAGTATTCTTAAAACTATAAGCTACTATAAAGTGCTGGTATAATATTATATAACACCTTAAAACAAGTTCGTCACTAGACAGATACTATAAAATTGTTTTAACGTACAAATAATATAAGAACTTTAAAGTTTTTTCCATAAAGTGTTAGAATAATTCTTTTTTAATATGAAATTCAATAAAGAAATGCTTAAAGGCTTTTGCAGCTTTACGGTTTTTGTAATCGTCCAGTGAGCGCAAAAGTATTGAATCTGCATATTACTTTCGTTAATTATATATAAACTTTTAGCGTTTTTCAAATACATTGCCCCTAAGACACGGAAATTATTTATTAAAATTCTTCAATATAAAACAAATATGTTTTGTAGGGTTTCCTACCTAAGCACCTATTTTTCCACCCTCCAGCTCATCCCTTTGGAGTGGCCCTGCCCGGGGTGAACATGACCCGCACTCCCGTCTACGAACTGGTTTACTTGGCCCAGCTGCCCACACCTCTGCTGCTATCCATGATGTACATGCCGTTCGTCAGCCTCTTCGCCGGCCTGGCCATCTTTGGAAAGGCCATGCTCCAGATCCTGGTGGACAGGCTGGCCCAAATTGGTGGGCAGGAGCAGTCGGAGGAGGAGCGCTTCCGAATGCTGACCTCTTGCATTCAGTACCACATTCGGGTGATGGGGTGAGCCGCAAAGTGAAGGGGGGTCGAATGAAAGGGGATCCCTAAGCCCCTCATTTCCATTTCAGCTATGTGTGGGAGCTCAACAAACTGGTAACCAACATAGTGGCGGCCGAAGCAATTATTTTCGGCTCGATAATCTGCTCGCTGCTCTTCTGTCTGAACATTGTAGGATGCTGACTTTATCAGGGGTGTTTCAGAAGTATCAATCGATATACAAAAAAATAGTTACATTTTTGAAAATATATTCTGAGCACTCCAGACTTTAGATGAGCAATCTTTTTAATAATGGTATACTACTTTTCCAGATAACTTCGCCCACCCAGGTCATCTCTATAGTGATGTACATCCTCACCATGCTCTATGTGCTATTCACCTACTACAACCGCGCCAATGAAATAGTCCTCGCGGTGATCACAAGACCTATTATGTCTTTCATAGTACCTTTTCTAATTTCAGTAATTTTCCGCAGAACAACCGAGTGGCGGAGGCCGTTTACAATGTGCCCTGGTATTCGGCTGGCATTCGTTTTCGCAAAACCCTCCTGATCTTCTTGATGCAAACACAACACCCCTTGGAGGTGGGTCTATATGGCTGCATTTCATTTGCGAGCCCGTGATTCTAATCCATTTCCATTTCGGGTGCGGTGCGCTCCATTTCATCTGGCAGATAAGAGTTGGCAACGTTTACCCCATGACTTTGGCCATGTTTCAGAGTCTGCTGAATGCGTCCTACTCGTACTTCACCATGTTGCGTGGCGTCACCAGCAAATGAGCTGAAAGACCGAAAAAGCACCAAAGGATCCTGTACTTTGTGCCCCTGCTTTTCCCCACTGCACTTGGCCAGCAATCCGAGTAATGCAAAAAGTTGTTTTTGCTGGCTGTGGTCCTGGTTGTTTGGCATTTGCATATGTTTGTCGTTTGAAAGGATTTAATCGGACTGCTGGCAGGGAGTCGGGATCCTGGCTCCTGGCTCCTGGCATGCAAATAGTTTGCCGCTTTGAATTGGCTTCTTAGATTGTTACACAAAATAGATTGTAGATTACAGCAAAATGTTGTGCTTGAAATAAAGTCAAATGAATGCGGAGTAGGATTCGGGAGCAGCACAAGGTTTTTGTGGCAGTGCCTAAAAGTATGATTTATCAAAGGATTGGGATTTGTGGCGGAGGTGGTTTTCAATTTGGGCAAGACAGATGGCCCAGAATGATATGAATAAGTAAATATTTGATCTGCCTGGCAATTAGTGTTGATATTGATTGAGTGGAACAAGTTGTAGCTCTGAATGTCCTTCGACCCATGCATTTTTTATTGCATACTCTCGGGCTGCGAAATCGAATTTGAATATTTGAGGGGTCGTGTCCGTCCTTTGCGCTTTTAATTAAAATGCCCTAAACTAGTTGTTTGTCTGCTGCAATTTAATTAACATTAGTCATGTCCTTTATTATGCAAATAAACTGCTGCTGCTGCTGCTGCCGCCAGAAAGATCGTTTAATGCCGGCCCAACAGCAGCAACAACTTAATTTAAAATTCATTATAACTGACACCAACTAGTTAAACAATTGCCGGCGGCAGGAGCATAAACATCAACAGCAACAGCAACAAAGGACAACTAAAACAGGAGCAGCAAAAAGGACGAAGGGTGCGCCTGGAAAATTGAAATGAGCGGCGGCAGGCGCACTTGAAATACGCAAATAAACTTCAAAGAAGGACGACTGCACGCTGTGTTTTCCGCTGGATGTCCTGGTGAGCGCATAAATAACAAAGGAGCAAGGGAGCAGGAGGAGCAGGAGGAGCAGGAGGGGTCCTGGTGTGGCTCCTGACTCCTGGGCTGCTCCTATCGCCCGGCTCGAGTGGCGTATACTTAATTTTATTATGAGGTGTCAAGTGCGGACCAGTTGACTTGCCCGGCCGAACGCCTTTTGTGTTGTATTTTGTGTTTGGCGCCGTTATTTATGTTGCCTGCCGCCCGCCATTTGGTGGCAGGTGAACGCCTACGAGCCCCGCCCCCTCCGGCGACCAGCTACAATGTGAACTTCCTCTGGGCTTCTACTTTTTCTTGCCACACTGGGAGAAAATATCACCTAGGGTGTTCAAGATTGAGATAGTTTCAGTACTTGGCAATATATAGAGGATACCTATAGATTCTATGATTTATAGGACTATTTATGACTTAAGATAGGAATTTTATGAATTTTACAAGTGAAATATACATAGATATAAACATAAATTTTATACTATTATATCAAAATTAGATTTAAATACTGGTAGTACATGGAACTAAAAGACCTTTAGGAATTCTACAAGTAACATATACATAGATATAACCATAAATGATATAATACTATATCAAATGTACCAGTATTTGGTAGTTCATGAAAGATATGTATTACCCTAGATATAGGACCCATATTAAGGTGTGTATATATAGAAATATAATATATTAAATAATAGTTATTATATACCAATATATCGAAATATAATGAGATTATTTACTAATTAAGTAACAAAAGAAGATAAACATGGTACATGACTAGATCTTCAAAATTTAATACGAATTTAATGAAATCAAAAGCATTCATGATAAAATTATACATTACTCAATGAAAGCTCCTTCATTTACTATTGATTTAAAGCCTTGCTATCTCTTTTGACAGGTATCACTTTATTTGTTCCTGTGTAAAATACCCATTGTTCCTTGGTTCTGGCTGCCAGCTGGTACTCTGATTTTTATGCAGGCAATATGCAAATGCCGCCGGAAATGTAAATGCGCCACTCGGAATGAAGGAGAGACACCCTGACGCTATCGTATCCTGCGAGTCCTCATTTTCTGCTGCATAAAATTAACAAGTTTGGCAAAAAACTGTTTCATTAGAGAGAACGTGGTTCGTGGTTGCGGTGGCCAGCCACGCCCCCTTCAACGTCCACACGCCCACCCACGGGAACAGCCACCCACGCAAAAGGTTACGTCGTTCTATAATTGAATTCATATGCATCAATGAAGGCAGCTCAACAAACACAACACAAAACCCAAAGGGAAAATTCGGGGGGTGGATGGGGCCGACCACAACATGGCAAACAGGAGGCTTTTCCGGGTGGGGTGGCCCACTTTTTCGGTGGCATTTTCAATTTTAAATGGATTTTCAATTGCGGTGGGAGCGTTTTGCATAAATTGCTATAATGAGTTTATTTCGAGGCTCGCCAAGTGGCTTCGTTGGCGTCTCTCCATGTCGTCCATGTGGGATATCCCAGGATATTCCTGGCTATCTACGGAATACTACGGGCTGTGCGGCCCGTGGTCGTGCTCATTTGCAATTGTCAACTGGCTGTCACAAGTGACAGTCGTATTGACAGTTTGCTTTCGCTGTTAATTTTCATTTTAATTGTGGCATTTTGCTGACAGTTGATGCTGGAACTTTGTTGCCTGTTTTGCGGTTGATTCAGGGAATTTAATTTGAATTCCCCGCTTGGTGTGGGCTAAGGCTTAACTTTAAGTGCCGGAAGTTGGTCTCCGGTTGAAGTGGATTGAATGCTGTTAGACTAACCCAACCCTTTTGCGGGCGTGCCATCAAATATTCCAGCCATTGTCTGTCGGGTCATTTGCGAAATCTCTCATAAGCAAAGCATTCATTTTCCAATTATTTATTGATGCCTCTGTGTCGAACTCTATCCCCGAATGCAGCCCACAGCCCACAACTTCACCTGCAATAAATCTCCAGAGTGCCCTTTCCCATCCTCCAACTCCAGATACAACCACATTGTCTAGCTTCCTGCAGGATGTTTGTCTGGCTGTGCCACTGGCTGCTGTCTGCCTCCTGGTGCCTGGAAAATATTTGCATTTTCACTTTTGATTTATTATTGCCATTGCCATGTGTAAATTGCCAAAGCAAAGGTGCAAACAACAAGGTCTCCGGCAGGACGTCTTCCAGGACTCGCCGCAAATGCAGCAGCTGCAGGTGGAGTCGCAGCCAGCGTTGACAAGGACACATTATGTTTGGCCAAATGAATGGTAATTGCGGCATTGAAACAAGTAATTGAAGTGCAAGCCAAACAGATTGCCAACTTTCCTGTGTCGACCACATTTCGATTGCTCTGCAGTTTGGCCCAGAAAGAGGTCATTACAGCTCTGCTAATTACAAGACCAAATTAGAGGGGCTTCCCCTGCAGAAGCTGCGATGCCATTGCCAATTACTTCCGCCTCTGTGTGCAATTTCCGCTTGCCAGGTTGGCACTGAAGCTGAAGTTGGAGTTGCCTAAGCAGCTTTTCTGGAAAACGTCAAAACAGCGACAACTTTATATGGCCACAAAGGCAACACAGTAATGAGGGCAAAAAGGGAAGCATAAGCAGATAATTACACAGGCGAACAACTATCTCGGAGCTGCCTTTTTCCCATTTTCATTTCCAAGGCCCTGCTCCCGCGGCCATGGAGTAGAAAATTACAAAAATAAAAAACCACAAGCGGAAAATTAAGAGCCATGGGCCTGCGGTCCACAAATGGCAGACGAGTGGAGATTGGTTGGGAGGTAAACTCCTTAACTTGGCCCAAACTTTAAGTTCATCTTCGAGTGGCTGCCCTAGGCCTAGAACTTGATCGGGCCTTTGATTATCACTGCAAATGGGAAATTCCTGTTTTCGGGAAAGATTTCCAGCCGGGCGGGGGAAACTGGGAAACTGCGGAGACATTTTCGGCATTTTTGACTGTCTGCCAGTGCCTGTAAGCGAAATGCAAACACGGAGTTCGGTCCCCCCAACCCAGACAGACCCCAGCAACCCCATCAGGCCCTGCCTTTTGTGTCTGCCCTGCAGCCACATTTAAATATGCCGCCAAGTTCTACCTACGCTTCGACGCCCCCTTGAAAGGCACCCAAAATCCCGCCCCTCGTTATCATCGCCACATGGCGGTGGCTGGCACTGATTTCATGCTTTATAACTTTCGATATCCGAATGGCAAACAGCGTTTAGCGCTTTGCCATGCCACCTGAAAACTGTCGGCAAGTGTTGCTTTGCTACCTCGGGGGCCATCACGGCGTATGCGCAATGTTTACTTTGCATTTTTCCTCGTTTTTTCACCTTTCAGTGGTTGTTTTTTCAAGGGCTTTGCATTATTCTTTTTCCGGCCAGGGGGGAGTTTCCTCATGGCATATGCATGATACATCAAATATTTAAGCGATATTTTAGCTATGCCGGCAATGAGTCAAATCTGAAGGAATGTCTGGGGACTGCGATAATAAAGTTTAGAGATAAACGACTTGGCAATCGAATTATGCGCCCCAGCCCAAGAGATTTGATTTGATTTCTGTAGGTACATGTTTCCATTTGGAATTTAGATTTTATTTATCGTTTTGATTGGCATGTTTTCGGTGGGTTAAAGAGAGATAGGAATTTAAGGGGCTGGACAACATCGGTTGGCCGGGACCAGATGATATTGTTATTCTTGTCGTAATTAAAAACCCATGAAAGCAAGGATGGCGACCAAACAACTGGCCACAAACCCATCCATGAACACACTCCTCCAGACAGACAGACAGACTGGGGGATCCGGAGGGCTTGCATGTGTGTGGCAAAGTAAACACGGAGCGTATTGATGGCAAGCAGTCCTTGCCAGGCAAAAAGTTTCATATCAATTTTAAGCCAAAGTAATGAAAAAGTAACAACAACAGTCAAAGGAAACACTGAGCAGAAGGAGGGAAAAAAGAAAAATTAAAACGAATGCTATAGACAAAGCATATTTGCACGCAGCGCGAAGGACTCCATGCCACATCCTCTGGGAAACCCGATGATGAAAATGATGATGATATCGTTGACGACGCAGCACACAAAGCAACGCTAACGCTTTATGACAGCCCAATGGGCCGCAGGAGAATCATGGCCAGAATCTGGGGAATCGGAAGAATCGGGCGGAGCGGAACCCATTTTCTTCCGTCGTCCTTTCTTTTTTTTTTCGGCAGGAACTTCTAAGGACGCTGTTTACATTCCCTGAAAGAGGACAGGCGGCGGACCTTGTCTGCCAACGACGAAATTAAAAACCAATAAAAACGCTGCAAGAAATGAAATTAAAAATTATGTTTTCTCTCCTTTAACAACAAACGGAAACA